GTTTTGTTTTTGTCATTCATTATAATTATTATTGTTAGAATTTTTTTTTGGAAAAAGATAACATTTTTTTCTTCTTTATGCTGCCTCGCATTTTATTTGTGATTTGTATTTTTATTGTATATAGAAATTTATTTTTTTAAAGAAATGAATAAAGTCTAATAATACTAATACCCAGCTGTTGCTGCTCTGAAGAACATATTTCAAACGTTACAAAGTGATTCACCAACTTTTGTTTGGAGGACAGAATTTCTAAACCTTCCAGCGGTCAGCCTGATGTTAGGAGGAAAAAGACATTTCTGTCATGAATCAAACATCTGTATTTCAGCTTTAAGGGTCTATACACAGCTTTTATTTGATGCACAGATTGAGCAGCAGTGAGCTCAGAAAAGATTATTTAAAGGAAACCACGACTATTTGCAACATTATACATTATGTCATAAATGCAAACCTCCAGACTCTGAGTTCAGATGTTTTCCTGCAGCTGATGGTTTCAGAGCTGCGGGACGCTCACCTGTCTGAGCTCACCTGTCTTCATCTTTTCTTCTCCAGGACTCTGAGTCTTTGGACAGCTGCATCCAGAAAGCTTTGGCAGCCCTCTATCCACCTTTCCAGGCCACATCCTCGACCGTCCTCTGTCAGGTTCTCAGTGTGGTGGACAGATGTTACAGAGGGGACGGCCTCCGGTACCTTTTACACTTCCTGCTGCCTGCAAAGCACTTCCTGCAGGACCTCCAGCAGGTTGCATGTGTGAGTATCTGGACTGGACTGGACTTTGGTACTCTGGAGCAGGGTGGTTGTTTCAGTTTGTAACTGATTCTTTGTTTTCTCACCACTCTCTTTCTCAGTCTCCTTTCTACGGCCGGCTGTTTCGTCATGAAGGTTGGCCTCTGTGTCTCCAGGAGAAGGTAGTCGTTCAGCTCTGTCCTCTGGACCAGCACCTCCTTCGTCCAGGAGACTTTTACCTGCTGGTTTCTCCTCCTGCCTCCTGCAGGAGCGGCGTGGACACCAGCCCCCGCCTGCTCCTGTGCAGCGTCTCGTCCGGCTCCCATCATGTTGAGCAGCAGGAGGTGCCGAGGGCAGCTTTGAAATCACTCTTCAGCATGTCCTGGCTGGACTGCGTTAACAGGGAGAGGGAGCGCAGAGGAGCGGCCAGGCTGGAGTGCTGTGTTCTCCTGGCCCACGGAGACGTCTTCAGGGTCCCCTGGGAGGACGTTGTCCACCCACAGTTCCTGGGTCGCTCACAAACCAACCCACAGGAGGACATGGACTCGTTAGTTAAAGACGGAGACGATCCAAACTCCTCCAGGCAGGAAGTTGAGCCCCTCCCATTCCATTCTGACCAATCAGCAGCAGGCAGTGGGGGTGAAGACTCTGAAGGGGAGTATGTCGAGCTGACGGAGCTACCGCTGCCTCGCTTCTACCCCCAGAAAGGATCTTTAACGCAGTCCATCAGCTTGCAGAACCGAGCCAGGACCACCCCAAACATTCACACTCTTGTGACGGAAGAACAAGCTAACACGCACAAGTACAGAACTGAGGCGAAAAACGCACACGCTAACACACACGCCAACACACATGCTAACACTCAGTCATATATGACAGAGACACATGCTAACACTCAGCCATATATGACAGAGACACATGCTAACACACATGCTAACACTCAGCCATATATGACAGAGACACATGCTAACACACAGACATATATGACAGAGACACATGCTAACACACAGACATATACGACAGAGACACATGCTAACACACAAGCTAACACACATGCTAACACTCAGCCATATATGACAGAGACACATGCTAACACACACGCTAACACTCAGTCAGAAATGACAGAGACACATGCTAACACACACGCTAACACACACGCTAACACACATGCTAACACACACAAACATGTTACGGACGTATACGCTAAAACGCACAAACATATGACTGACACTGACGCTAACAAACAAGCTAATTCACACGATAACACACACAAACATGTGACTGACACATACACTAACACACAAGCTAATGCACACAGTAACACATGCCAAGATGTGACTGACACATACGCTAACACTTCAAAACATGTGACCCAGACACATGCTAGGACACACGAACATTCAACCAAAACACTTGACTGTGACACACACTGTAACACTAACACACAGATTGACAGTAACACGCACTCTTCCGACAGTAACACACACTCCTCTGACAGTAACACACACTCTTCCAACAGTAACACACACTCTTGTGACAGTAACACACACTCTTCCGACAGTAACACACACTCCTCTGACAGTAACACACACTCCTCTGACAGTAACACACACTCCTCTGACAGTAACACACACTCTTCCAACAGTAACACACACTCTTGTGACAGTAACACACACTCCTCTGACAGTAACACACACTCCTCTGACAGTAACACACACTCCAGACTCCTTGAGGAGAACCTCAGCCAGGATTCCTGCGGAGGCCGCCTCCTTCCTCCCTCCTCTTCCTCTGATCCTGTGGAAGATGAGGAGAAACTTGAAGGTACATTTTCTGACATGAAGGCTGAAGCTGCTGCCTGCCATCAGCAGGAGCGGGGTGAGGGAGAACAGAGCAGGGAGCCGGAGGACGAAGAGACAGTTTGTGAGGAAGAGGAGGAGGTTGTAGAGGGACAGCAGAAACTTTTACAGGAAGCAAAGTGCAGGAGCAAAGATGAGGTGGAGGAAAGTGAAAAGATGGAGGGTAATGAGGGTAATGGAGAATTGGGACAGAAGTTGGAGGGTAAGGAGGTCATGCAAGGTCTGACACAGCAGGAGGAGGAAAAAGAGGATGAGGAAAAAGAGGTGGAGGATGAGGAAAAAGAGGTGGAGGATGAGGAAAAAGAGGTGGAGGATGAGGAAAAAGAGGAGGAGGATGAGGAAAAAGAGGAGGAGGAGGTGAGGAAAGAGGACAAGAAGGAAGCTGAGAAAATAAAAGGAGGTGCAGAAGAGTGCGAGGATAAAGACTCCTATTTTGAAAATAAACAAGAACGCACTGAGGACTCTGAATATATAACACAAAAACAGCACATTGAGGAACTTTATTGTGAAAATATCAAACAACAAACACATCTCGAAGACTTTTATTGTGAAAGATACTCACTGCAGTCACTTCAAGATGATTTTCTTTGTGGAAATATCAAACAAAAAGCACATCCTGAAGACTGTTATTCTGAAACTGACACAGCTCTATCATATTCTGAGGACTCTTATTGTGGAAACAGTAAACAGAAAACAAAATTTGAAAACTCCTGTTTGGAAAAACACTCAATGCATTCACATTCTGAGGACTACGTTCATGAAAATATTTCCCAAAAAACTCAACTTGAGGACTTGTGTAGTGGAAATATCAAACAAGAAACATATCTTGAAGACTCGTATACTCAAAATGACTCACGGCAGTCACAGTCTGAAGACTCTTATTGTGAAAGTAGCACTAACAAAACACCACCTGGGAATTCTTATTGTGAAAAAGACACACTGCTCTCATGTTCAGAAGATGACTCTTATTGTGGAAATATCAAACAAGAAACACATCTTGAAGACTGTACTCAAAATGACTCATGGCAGTCACAGTCTGAAGACTCTTATTGTGAAAATTTCTCACAAAAACCACAACCTGCAGATTCTTATTGTGAAAATGAAACACTGCTGTCATATACAGAGGGTGACTCTTATTGTGGAAATAACAAACAAGAAGCACATCATAAAGACTCACCTGAAGAATTTTATTGTGAAAATTTTACACACAAAGCACAAGCTGGGGATTATTATTGTGGAAATGGCAAGCAAAAGAAACATTCCAATTTTCTTGTGTGCGGAAACAACAATTTGCGATCACATTCTGTGTCAAATTGTGAAACTAATGCACAACAGTTACCTCCTGACGACATTTTTTGTGAAAACTTTGCACAAAAAACATGCTCTGTCCTTTCTGCAGAAGTGAAAAGACGACAGTCTCATTTTGAGGAGTCTTACTCTGAAATTTCAGAACAAACACCTTCTGAAAACTCTTATTTTGAAAGCAGCACCCTTCAGGGTCCCTTCAAGCAGTCAGATAAGTTGCCTACAGTTTCTGACTCACTACAAACACAACCCAATGACTGTCGATCTGAAAGGACAATACATACACAACCAGAAGACTTTTATTCTGAAAACCCAAAACAAACACAGCCTGGGGACTTCTGTTTTGAAAGCACTATACAAAACCATCCCGAGGACTCTTATTCTGAAAAGGCACTAAAGACATATCCCATGGATAATTATTCTGAAAGCACAATACAAACAAAATCTGAAGAGTTTTATTCTGAAAACACAAAACAAACAAAGCTTGGAGACTTTTGTTCTAAAAGCAAAATACAAAAACAGCCTGAAGACTTTTATTTTGAAAGCAAAATACAAAAACAGCCTGAAGACTTTTATTTTGAAAGCAAAATACAAAAACAGCTTGAGGACTCTTATTCTGAAAAGACACTTCAAACGTATCCCAAGAATACTTATTCTGAAAGCACAATACAAACACAACCCAAGGACTGTTATTCTGAAAGGACATTACAAGAACAACCTGTAGACTTTTGTTTTGAAAACACAGAACAAACAGAAATTAAAGACTGTTATTCTGAAAGGACATTACAAAAACAACCTGAAGACTTTTGTTTTGAAAACACAGAACAAACAGAAATTAAAGACTGTTATTCTGAAAGGACAATACAAACACAATCCAAGGACTGTTATTTTGAAAGAACACTGCAAACCCAACCTGAAAACTTTTGTTCTGAAAACACAGAACAAACACAACTTGGAGATTTTGTTTCTCGAAGCACAATACAAAAACAGCCTGAAGACTTTTATTTTGAAAGCACAATACAAAAAGAGCCAGAGGACTCTTATTCTGAAAGCACAAAACAAACTCATGGTGAGGACTCCTACCTTGAAACTAAAGCATCAGAAGATCCAGGTGAACTCCATGAGTTTGATGGAGAACAACTGAATGTAGAGATTAACTGGGAGGAGGATGAGGAGCACAGCCGTGAGAAGACGGGAGGCCGAAGATCTGCAGATCCTCAAACAGAAGGTACAAACTCTGTCTCCTCCTCCTCCTCAGTTTCCTCCTTTTCTTTCATCACCTGCCTCCCTTCAAACTTACTACCTCCTCTGATTCACCGCATCATTTTCACCCCCTTCATTTTGTCTGATTTCACTGCATCAGTCCTTACCACCTCCTCACTGATTCACTCCATCAGTCCTGGTCTTCTTTTCTGATGTAAGTTGTTGCAAGAAGTGTCTCTGTCCCCCTTCTTCTTGTAGCAGGGGACAAAGTTGGCATCTCATTTCTTTGAGCACGAGGCCCTATCTTCAACAGGGACACCAGAGTTGGTGGAGGGGATATAAGCTTAGGTGTATACAGTAGCTCATTTTAGGATCTCTATATGAATTCTGTCATTGCCTGGGTCTTTAGCAGCAACAAGGACCTTCATTGTTGTCCTTGGCTCTTCCTTGCTAGGTCCCGTATCAAGGGCGTAAATGTTGTGCCGGTAACCAGCCTCAACTGTGTCATTGAGTTCTGAATAATGGTCCACCCTCTGCTTCATGTGACAAGGCTTGTCCTTTACCAGTGGTTGATGACAGTTTTCTTCCGATAGGGTCCAGTAGCCTTCTTGAAATCCTTGCAAACACCAGACATTGCCCAAATCTTCAGCCAACTAAATGCAGAAGTAGAGCATAAACTGATTCTATTTTTTGAATAAACGTTTAATTTCTGTTTCAACTTAGTGGTTAAGACTTGTACATGATCACGATAAGTCAAATGAGAATCCAAAGTAATTCCAAGATATTTGTAGGTAGTGACAATATCAAGGGGTTTGTTTAAAAAAGTGAGTTGATTTGTTATATTGAAATGTGTAAACGTAACATCCCAGTGCTGAAGACAGCTCTGGTTCTGAGCTCAGGTCCAACGAGTACAGGAAGAGTTTTTAACTCATCTGATGAACTTTAGAATTCAGAATGTGTGATCTGGATCATTATCTTTGTATTTATTATCACGACTTTGTGTGTGTGTGTGTGTTACCTCCACAGTTTACCATCACGGCTCGTCTCCTGTCCAATCAAATGTCAATGTGTCTGCTGGTACTGGTCCAACAGAACCAGAACCATCACCAGCTGCCTCTACAGTCCAGTTCCAGTCCTCCCAGTCCAGCTTCTACAGTCAGCTGCTGCGATCTGGAGCTGTGTGTCTGCCTGGTAACCACACACACACACACACACACACACACAATGCAAACACCAGACTGGGTTTTTAGCTATAAACTCTTTCATTTGTACAGATTTTCTGTTTTACAACCAGAAGTACATTTAGCTGTGTTGTAAGTTTTGTATGTTCATTTATTGCTTTTTTCCCTCATTTTTTTATTTATTTAAAGTGATTATTAAATATAGTCCGGCTCACCTCAATGCACATCATGAGTTTTAGAACCAATCTGGACCTTATTCCACTCTGAGGTTGCTCATGGTGAGAGGCTCATGCTGGTGGGGGTCCTACATATCCCCCCCCCCCGGTTTGACTCGGTCTTATTAAAGTCTTCCTCGGTGCATCAGAGTCCTAACTCTGTGTTTCCTGCAGGAACTAAAGACCGAGGAGGACGAGCTCTGCTGACCGTCTGCAGTTTAAGCCCCGTGTGGTCGAACCCCTGCTGCGACAGTGCAAGGCTGCTCCGCCTCCTCCTCTACTACACCTTCACTCTCAGGTACGTAGCTCTGAATGTTTTACAGCTCCCTCTCAGAAAACCCTGTCTCTGACATCACTTCCTGTGTGAATCAGGAAGGAAGTGCGAGCCTTGGGGCTGACGGTGCTGGTGGACGCTCGTGGAGCTGCTCCTCCCTCTGTTTTGTTCTCCGCCCTCCGGTTGCTGCAGGTAGGGAGGCTCCTGGTGGTTTAAAAGCCAGAACTATCTATCTATCTATCTATCTATCTATCTATCTATCTATCTATCTATCTATCTATCTATCTATCTATCTATCTATCTATCTATCCATC